GAAGTTTCTTTATACTACTAGTAGTATGTTCTTCGAATTATGCTACGTGTATCACTTTTTTGGTACTCTACCTATCTTCATGTTCGGTGTATTCGTCAACTTTCATCGGCTTCGAATTTTGCCTTTTTCTCTCTCTCTTGTTCTTTCTTTCAACATCTTAAATTTACCGGTATTGATCGATTGAGACATATACGTACTTTACTTGTTTTTCATTGTTGCGTTGATATCCGTTTCGGGTCCACTACGTTGACTTTTACCTAACGATTCCTAAAGCCAATGTATGCGCAGCGTAGTTTAAGGTGGTGGACGAGAGACATGGATGTCAGAGGTTGTCGGCAAGAAAAGCGCAGCACAACTTGGCGCGAACCGTCGAAACTCTCCCCTCCACCCCCCATTGATCTTCATTATTTCGTCATGGAGTCCTCAGTCTTTTGTCATGATCTAAATCAATCGAGGGGAGTGCAAGGGAGGGATACACACATATCATTACTTAGTAGACATGTACCTCGTAGCAATAATGTGGGGGGGAAGAGGGAAGAAAATTTTTAACATCCACTGACTGCAACGATGTGCATCACGATCTGAGGCATTTTACTAAATAGTGGGCAAAATGTATCCCACAGTATGCCTCTAAAAGATATGTGGAAAAGATATCCACGTTGCCTGTCGAGTATTTCATCCGAATACTACATCGACTGGGACGAATAGAGACCCTGCCAATTGGTGACAAAACGCCCATTCTGACGACGCGAGAATTGCCCCAAACCCGCACCAAAAGTCTTCGAGAGACAATATGACCTTTTCTGGTAAGGTCAGGTCCTCTTTACGACTGGGGCAGCGGAGAGCCTCAACCATGGTATGCTTTGTGCTTTTTGACGGCCGGTTTTCTATGGGTCCAGGTTGTTTTCTGTCAGGTTCTGCCTGTCCTGCCTGGTAGAATACCAGTAGCAGTGTATAACCCGTATGAATACGTCCCAAGACGTAAGCTGAAGAACGATACCGAGTAAGGGTCCTTACCTATACATACAGACCGAGATCGTACTTACATGGCGCTAGCTGGGATTTGGCTTAGTGCAAAACAGAAGAGCGGGCCCGATTGTAGTGTAAATAAACGACTCCACATTTAACCCCAAAGCTCTAGAAAAAGAAAGATTATTACTCAGCGGTCAAGTTCAGCCTTGTGCCGAATCATATGTTGTTGCTGTTCCCCTTTGGAAGGGGGTGAAGTAACTAACTAATATGTGGAATTTGTCAATCGAGATATTGTCATCCGGAATGAATATCTTGTGCCATCCAATTCCCGTGGTCGGTCGCTCAATGGCAAATCGCGTTTTGAAGACACTACTACTAAGGGACGGGATGCATCGATAACTCCGTTCCTCGGGGCGCGTTCTGTATTCCCTCTTTTAGACCCATGTCGTCATTGAGTCTCGCGTCCCACGTTTCGGGTCTCCGGCCTGCCTGTTCTGGAATCCGGAGTTACGAGCAGCACAGGATGGAGATTATTGGCCCATCGTGATGCTTTCATTAAACGTCCAATTGCTAGGGGAGTAAGTACGTACTAACTAGTGTTTGCAGCTAATAATCTCGCCCCGGGGCTTCAATAATAACCGTGATATAACAATGGAGCTACTCCTATATTCATCTCTCCTAAAAAAAGGAGTTGGGATAATCCGCTTCGCTTCTATACTTGTTCTGGGTTTAATCTCCTGGCAGGACCGGGAGATCAGACATCCGATGAATTGATGCCGTCCGGCCTGAACAAGCCACGTTTCCCTTCAGCTCTCATCTCCACGCCTCAGGCACACGCTCGCGCGACCACCTCCTTCCGGCAGGTTAAAGGGGGAGGGGGAAAGGGGACAATCTCAAAATATGACATAAACTCGAAATTGAAAGTCTTACCCGCGGGAGCTTGGCGTGGATTGTGATGAAAAGCCCTTTACGCGTGATGATTCGACGATCGCGTAGGGAGCCCATCGCGCGCTTATTGCCAATCTGGCGTGTCTCTTCAATGGGCGTTCTCCGGATAACCCTGGTCCAGAAACTAGAGAAAGCTTTGCATCTGCATCCCGCTTGCCGTGCCTCGAGACTTTTTTTTGCCACTAGTCCGGGGAAGGATTACGGGTTTAGTACCCATTCTTTGGTGCCGCTTTTGGGTGTGCAGCAATAGTTCACACTGGCTAAGGTGCCTTTCTTGCATTTTGGTTTCTGTGCCCTGCTATCCCTGTCTAATCCCAGAAGCATAATATATGAAACTGCCCGCAATTGGGCTCGCGGTTTGCATGAACCTGGTCGGAATGTTATTAGGTTCAGCTGGCACGCCTGGACCGCCCCCATCAGCCACCTCCTGAACCGGAGAATGAGTGATGCCTGGTCTTAAACCAACGATACCTGGCGTGCGCTGTCATTGCCGTCTCTGCGCCGACGGTCGCCATGTCCGCCAGGGCTACCACCATGCTGTGTTGCGCATACCTGCATTCACGTTTCAAACCAGCGTGTCGATACCCCGTACAGTGGCCAGAAAAAGATAGCTTAGTTTGCACCAATTGAGGGCCCCTTTTTGATTGATTAGGCGCAGCGAAGATCACATTGCGTGATGATTTCAGCCGGAGGTGAAATTGGCGCCGTCCGTTCTATATTTGCGTCTTGGCTATCTATAAGATGCATATTAAAAGGTCTGACAGTGCATTTTCTCATACCTTAGGAGTATCAAACCCATACCAAAAGGACAGGGAAACTTCACCTGCGACTTGGCATTGTGTTTGGGACTACAGTCTACTCTCCTGATTGAAGAAAGGTATGCATTCTCATCGCGATATCGTGTATATTTAGCAAGACTGTCACTTCTTCCCCTGCTGCATGCTGCGCGGTGGTTGTTATATCCGAGCGCTTCGACGGAGTAACCCCAGGAGATCGTCTAAGACCCAATGGACCCGTAAGCAGCCCCGCCAATCAATGATTATATTCATTCGACTCTTTGGCTCCGGAAATTGTCCCCCTTCTTATCCGACGCTATTTGCATTATGTAGGTTTCGCTCGATTCGTGATATGTGGTTCTGAATATTAGAGAAGGCAACGCGACTTGACGATCAGTCGGCTCCGATCTCATGGGTTTCGCAGTCAATCGCGCACTCGTTACTTGGCTTCTCAAATGCTAATCTCCCGGGCGAGTCTCCTGAGGAGATGATCCAAGTGTGTGTCTTAGTTGTGTGTTTGGTGCGGCTCCTTCCAAGTCAGCGCGGCACAAAGTGTGTGCCTATCAGTGAACCCCGCACATCCCAATTATCAAATCAAACTGTCGAACCGAACTTGGAACTGAGCCACGCATCCTGGTTCAGCTGAAGGTGGAAGATGAATCCGCCAAAGATATTCTGAGCGATCCATCTGGGTCCACTAATATTCCTTGCTGCTGAGCCTGCTGGGGCTCAGTTCCATACGCCGCAAGAACTTGGACGGAAGCGTCCTATCCGCATATACCCCTTTGCTCACCCTCCATACTGTACAAGCCAAGGGACGGACGGCATATCTCCCCTTTACCTTTACACAGTACATTCATTTAGTCTCTCCACACCTGCACATGAGCTCTGACATCTTGAATACCACGGAATTTCGCCCCCTTGGGTGGGGAGCGATGCCTGCAACATCGGCTTAGTCGCATCCTATCAGCTCTCTAGGACTCCGAACCGGGCCCTGCTAGCCTTTAAAGTACGAACCGCGTTCCGGCAATGATGGCCCAGGCTGCTCTGACGTGGCAATCCCTTGATCTCGAATCAACCTATGGACATCCTAGGACATGCAAGTGTCTTGTCAGTGATACGACATCTTCATGCAGCAAAACTCGCTTCTCTGTGTTCAAATATCCGATGGATGTCCTGATAGCCAGTCATTAAGCCGTTTCAAACCCCGCTTGCATATGGCCAGTACAATCCATTTGTTCGACATCCTTTCCCCCATTCTGACTGCATTCACAAGAATCCACTAATCAGGCTGTCTGCTTTTCAGCATGTGTCGCGCAGAGTTGGTCCGACCAAACAAACCATCCTGGTCCTAGTCAGGACTTGTTTGTTATCTTGCTCAAAGCTTGGTATGGTCAAGTCCTCGAAAGCAACCGTTGGTTCACAGCATTTGTTCTCATCCGGTGTGTTGGCGTTGCTTATCAGTACAAGCTGACGCCTCTCCGAGATGGAGGGTATGTCGAATGACTAGGCCATTCTGGCCAGAAAGGTGAATGCTAGACAAGCGCACTCTCATGCAGTAGTGGACGAACATTTCAGTCCGTTATTGCCATTGTTGGAATACTTGCTATGGCATATCCGGTAGGTGAGTTTTTGCAGTTGATACCAGTAGTACAGAGAAGGTTGGACCATCTATGTCCATGTCGCACATGGAAAAAGGCTCCCTAATAACTGCGCTGGACGAAGAGCAGATCAATCATCGTAGTATCTTTGTAGTCTCTTGGCCCTTGTCCAACCTAGATTGGTCTTCAATATCTGTAGATATCAGTCTTTGCCGCCTCGGCTTATTGAATAGGAAAATCTCAACGACACCATGTCCCACAACCATGATAGCCAGCCAATACAACTAATATTCACATTCATAATTCATGAAATCCACATCGAATCAATCTGTATTTCTTATCTCAGCAATGAGCATTTACGATGCTCGACGGCGACCACAGCCCGCAACAAATCACGTGACAGCAGAGCCGGTGGGACCTCCGCGGCGCGCTAAAAATTGTATCAAAAAAGATCCGGAAAAAAAGCTGAAGAGTCGCCAGCACCATCCAATCGAGCCACCGCGCCTGTGCCAACCATATCACGAACCGTTTTTATCGACCGGAATGATTGTTTAACGGTCGGCTCTACAAGCTGAGCCGGGTAGAATCCTATAATCGCCAAACGGGGATCTACTTTTTCCACACGCCGTATCATCAAGAAAACGAAGCTCTTCCAATCTCCAAAAAGAAACCAAGACATTATCACCACCACCAAAAGCCCATCATGGATATCCACCGTTGCCGTTTCGTTCCCTACAACCCTCAGGCGATCAATGCGCTTGCTTTCTCCCACCCTCCCTCCGCGGAACTCGCAGGACGAGGTGTCCCTACGCTCCGACTCGCAATCGGTCGCGCCAACGGCGATATCGAGATCTGGAATCCCCTGCGCGGCGCCTGGTTCCAAGAGACAGTTCTCCGAGGAGGAAAAGACAGAAGCATTGAGGGGCTGGCATGGACGCTTGACCCTCCTGAGCCTGGTCCGGATGGGTCAAAGCTGCCTGGACGTCTGCGCCTCTTCAGTATCGGATACTCGAGTGCCGTGACGGAGTGGGATATCGAACAGGGTCGTCCGCTGCGCCATTCGAGCGGAAACTATGGCGAGATCTGGTGTTTGGCTGCTCAGCCCAGGTGGCAGGCGACGCGGGGTAAGGATGGCAAAATGTTGCCTCCGGCGGAGGGAGAGTTCACGGGCCAGCATCTGGCTGCGGGTTGCGCCGACGGATCGATTGTTATCTTGTCCACGGCGGATAATGATCTGAAGTATCTGCGTACTATGCGCCCGTCTACGAAGAGGTCCAGAGTGCTTAGCGTGACTTTCCAGAACCGTTATACCCTTGTCGCGGGATATGCGGATAGTTCGATTCGGTTGTACGATATTCGGAGTGGTCAGCTTCTGCGCACGATATCCCTGGGTAAGGGACCTGCTGGGGGAACGAAGGAGTTGCTTGTCTGGTCGGTTAAGTGTCTGCCTGATGGGACGATTGTCTCGGGTGACTCGGCTGGTGAAATTCGCTTCTGGGATGCTAAGAACTATGCCCTTATTCAGCGTCTGCAGGGCCATTTGGCGGATACGTTGGATATCGCTGTGAGCGCGAAGGGTGATACTGTTGTCAGTGGTGGTGCCGATCAGAGGACGGTCGTGTATAGGAAGAAGGAGGGTGAGAAGGGTGACAAGAAGGCTAGATGGACTGAGGTCATGCATCGTCGCTACCACACTCACGATGTGAAGACCTTCGCTGTGTACGAGACCAGGGATATCAGTATCGCCGTGTCTGGAGGTGAGATTCATCGTGCTACGGTATATGCGATTGCCTGTGGACTAACAATGACTAGGACCTGACGCTGCACCGGTTGTCCTGCCCCTGCGCGAATTCGGAAAGGAGCACCACAGAAAGCTCTCCAGCTTGCCCCAAATACCCCAACTTGCATCTTCCCCTGCGTCTAGGCTCGTGATGAGTTTCTGGGATAGGGAGGTCAGTATCTGGCGTTTGCACCGTGGTCCTGCGACGCACGAGAATGCCGATGGTCAGCGTCATCGCTTGGTCGGCAAGGTTCTCATCCAGGTAAGAAACATAGTGAATCAGTTGCAATACGGCCTATATCTAACGACTTGCAACAGGGCGAAGAAAACATCACATCTGCTATGCTCTCCGCAGACGGAAAGATCCTCGTCGTTGCCACGATATCCACCATCAAGCTGTTCTCCGTGCGCCGCCGCAAGGGCGATGAGAAGGGAACTCTCCGCATACAGAAGTTGGACGTGCCGAAGGCTCTTGCGGAGGACGGTGCTCGGGTCGTGACTGTCGCTCCCAACGGCCAGTGGGTTTGCGTTGTTCGTCCCAACAGTGCTATGTACCTGGCTCGCATCAAGCCGGCCTCCACCGCGCAAGAGAAGCCTCACATTCACGCCCAGCTCGTCAAGCTGAACAGAGCTACTCGTCACACTCGATTCGAGAAGGCCTCGCACGGTACCTTGGGCGAGTACGAGAGATCAGTGCGATGCGTCGTATTCTCCGACGACAGCAAGGTCCTGGCATCCGGTGATCTCTCCGGCTGTGTCGATACCTGGGCGCTCCAGAACGCAGAGGATACCCCCAAGAAGCGCAACAATGCCGCCGGCTCAGACGACGAATCTTCCGATGACGAAGACCAGCCCGTGATCGAGGGTGAGCGCTGGACCCATGCCGCCGGAGAGTCCCCCATCCCCCGTCTCAAGTCCGGAGTTGTCCTCCTGTCCTTCCGCCCCCCCAACCCATCCAAGACGAAACTCCTCCTAAACGGAGTCGCAAAGGGCGAGCACCGCCTGATGGCCCTCACAAGCGAGCACCAGCTCGTAGAGTTCGACGCCGTCGAAGGCAAGCTATCCGACTGGTCCCGGAGAAACCCGAAGGCCTTCCTCCCCGAAGAGTTCCGCGGCGTCAAAGACCGCGCCATGGGCTGTGTCTGGGACCTATCCGCCGCCCGCGAACGCCTATGGCTCTACGGCACCTCCTGGCTGTGGATGTTCGACCTCAACCAGGACTTCCCCTCCCCCGAGGAACTGAACGCCTCCGCAGACAACCACGAAGACGAGAACGCCTCCACACAAACCTCCAAGAAATCCGCCGCGCAAAAGCGCAAACGCAACCCCTTCGAGGAGGAAGAGAACGCCCGCAAGAAGCCCAACAGCGGTGCCGGTGACAGGATACCCCTCGCCCAGTCCGACCTGTTCTTCGCAGCCAAGATGCGCAAGATCGTCGGCAGCGACGAAGGCCAAGGCGAGTGGATGTCCCTGGACAAGGAACGTCCTCGCGCCCCCGACGCCGACGATGAAGCATACGACTACGACGAAGCATACACGGCCAACAACGACGTCGCTCTGGCCCGTCTCCGCAGAGAAAGACAATTCATCGAAACCAGCACCCCCCTGAAACGCGTCTCCATCGGTGGAAAGCAGGATAAACTCCTCCTCGGTGGTGACGTCGAAAGCCCCTCCGCCCAGAAACAACTCGTCCCTGCTTCAGCCGACTCCAAATCCAACCAGCAGCAGCAGCAGTCCTCCCGCCGCTGGTGGCACACCTACAAGTACCGTGATCTCTTGGGTATCGTGCCCCTGGGCTCGGATGATGCCGATGATGTCGAAGGTGATAGCGACAATCATTTCTTGGAGGTCGCTGTCGTCGAAAGACCCATGTGGGATGTCGATTTGCCGGGTCGTTATGTCCGGGACTACGCTTAGGCGAGTCGTCATTATTCATATTTATTTCATTTACTTTCTTTTTCTTTTTATTATTACAATGTCCATTTCTTCCAATTTATATTAGATATTCTTCCTTGTCTTGGCGAGCATGATAGGTCTTTTTTTTACAAATCAGAATTAGATTAAAAGTTGTTATTCTTGATATTACTTTTGAAGTAGCATGTAGATTGATTGATTGGTAACTGTTGATCATCAACAAATAGATATGTTAGACCTCGTGCTCTGCAGACCACCTAACCTATTTAGATATAAGTAACTCTGATTCCACATACGGACATCCCTCTAAGGGGTCTGTCGCCAACTTCGACAACAATCAGTCAATTAGTCAGTTGATCAAATATCCCGCGTATTAGTTACCTAAAATTGTCTGACAATACCAATCCCATTTAAGCATGAAGCATGCACAGTTTGCTGTGTTTGACAGTTTGATGAGGTTACTTTGTGAGATCACAGGAGAATCAAGATGACTACTATAGACTGGGCATGGGTATGATAGATGATGGTAGGTAGTATGCGTTCGGGTGTGGCATGTTTTCGGGTTGTGTGTATTTCTTTACTTCAACAAGGATGATTGGATTGTACTGGAAGTTGAGAAACTCGATTGCATTGGTGAGATGACTGTCAGTTGGGCCCTTTTCTCTTTGCTCCTTCGTATTTGTAGATGAGAGGGGCGGAAAAGGCTCGAAACCAGGAGAATAGTAAAGGATCAAGACAACGCCATGCATGTTCCCTGTAAATATCTACCACAACTATCGTGAAAATCGAACCATGTTCCATGTAGCATAGCATGAGCGTAAAGAAAACCGAAGCAACCCAGAACCTGCTGATCTGCGTTCAGGAGACAGCATACATATCGTGACGCATCAAAATCTTGTCTTGTCTCAGTGCCCGAAGGCGACGGGAGACTCCATAGAAAGTACAGAAAGTAAACATGTAACGAAAACGCCAATAAAAGAAGAAAAGTACATTGCAAACTCCCGTGACTTTCCCTCTTTGGCTTGTGGTCGTGATTTTCAAGTCAAACTTCTTTCTTCATGCAATAAATTTGCGGCCGCTAGGTGAGACTCCATAACCGTAAGCCGGTTTATAAACTGTCTATTGGGCGATCCGATATGAAATCGTCTCATGGCAGGCCTATCATGATGTTGATCGATTCCGGGTGGCGAGAGATATAACGGACCTGGCACATCCCGTGTCTGTTGCATCTGCAGAGTATATAGTCGTGCGAATCAACTTCGCGGCGCTGTGAAATGAGTTTCGGAAGCTGGCACCCGAGAGATGCGTATATCGACGGGCAACGGAAAGTGTAGCGCAGCATCCGTTTGCTGCTGACGGTATGCTAGCCCCACCAGTTTATTATAGGTCGCACTATCGAGTGGACGGGATGTTGGACGCTGACCAGCCATGGCAGGCTCAGGTCCAGGTCCTTGGTGGTGACATATGGGCGGACGGCGATTGCTTGGCATGTAATTACCAAGACCTCTAGTAACTTTGCGCAGAGACAGGTGCAGGCTGCATTCATTAGCATCGAACAAGCAAAGATGAACGCCAAGTTGAAGAGTAAAATCGTCATCCCAAGTACAAGCGTCTGGGCAGCGTTACACAAGGGAGTTGCGCTGTGACCTGGCAAGAGAAGATGGCTAAGCAAGGGACAACTTACAGGACTGCTGAGCATGCTGTTCCGCTTGTTCCGGCCCTTCTTAATATGGTTCTTCAGTGCGGTGGAATCCAGCGGTTTGAGCAGCTCAAAACTACACAACAATTCACCTGAAACCGACATGATGGCACCCCAGTTATCGAATTCACCACAATACTATTATGAATAGTGGTTAGCAAAATAAATCATCGGGCTGCAGATACGTTAGAACGGTGTCTGGAAGCACTTACATTAGGTGCAGAAAAGACGGTAACGAGAATTCGATCCTGGTAGAACTCATAGCCGTCCTCGACGACCATGTGCGCTCTGCAGACCAAGTCGAAATCATGCCGTTGCAAGAAGTCCATGATGACCTTCTTACCGAAGCAATAACTCACTCCGCGCTCGTTCGGCTCCCAGTCCTCTTCCATATCCGCAGGGTCGCTCCACAAAAGATCATTCAGCAAACCGTAGTCCGGTACATCGGTCGGACGTGCGATTCCTCGAATGTCATCCATATGGGAGAGGCTAGGAGACAAACCACCATGGACACAGAAGATCTTGCCAGCGACGATCGCAGCGATGGGGAGGCAGTTGAAGGTATCAACAAATGTCTTCCAGATCTTGATGTTGCAACGCCGTTTACATTCATCATAGAACCCATAAACGCGGGTTACGTTGGCACACTCGTGGTTGCCACGTAGAAGGAAGAAGTTCTCCGGGTATTTCAGCTTATAGCAAAGCAGGAGAAGAATCGTTTCCAGACTCTGCTTTCCACGATCCACATAATCACCCAAGAACAGATAGTTTGAAGCAGGAGGGAACCCGCACATCTCAAAGAGCCTGATAAGATCCGTATATTGACCATGAACATCTCCGACGATCTTGACAGGGGCAGACAGCTCCAGCAGAGCCGGCTGAGAGAGGAACAATTCCCGTGCCGCGGTACAGATCGCCGTGATCTCTGCATTCTTCAAGCAAACGGTTTTAGTGACCTTCGTCGAGTAACCGGCGTCGAGAAGCCGCGAAATCATGTCGTCCAAGTCAATAGACTTCAGAGCGCCCATTCCCATACCTGGCGAGCTAGCTGCCTCGAGCGGAGTGTTCATTATATAGTCCAGAATGGGGTTGAGTTGATTGTCCTTTTTGATGAGGATAGATTCACCCACGGCCTGCGAGGATGGGCCCACGGGAGCAACACCAGTGGGAGGAGCGTCCGACACAAGGTCAACCTCGCCGCTTTGTTGCATAGCACTCACATCTTGATGTCCTCGCTTCAAACTGCTCGACAAGGAAGGGGATGGGGGAGGCTCGGGGGCATCAGGGTTCGCACCCGGATCCTCGGCGGTAGGAGACTGTGTACTCAGGTTGGTAGAGCTGCGTCGACTCGCTGCCGACTTGATCGAGCCAGCATCCGACCTGTCAGTCTGGCTCTCCGTTTGTGACAGCGCGGACGTCGATGCGCGGGGACTGTCACTGCTACGGATTTTCGAGCGGATCGAGCCCCGAAGAGAACGGAGCGATTCTTTGGTATCCGACCGAGAGAAAGATGGATACGACTGCAAAGAGTCGCCCGGGCTGGAGTTGCCCTTGGAATGCGACTGACCCATTACTGCAGGGTGAAATATCTGCCAAGCTCGATCTCGGACGTCTATACAAGCGATATACGTTCAAAGTGTGAACACCAAGCCCTGCGGTGCGTCGGAATGCTGAGAGTCGTCTTGGCTGCTGCCTAGTCCCGAGAGGTTTGGTCCAGATATAAAGGAGACAAATCTTCCACAACGGTATGGGCAGGAAAAAGACCAGTCCTCGATCGCGAAAGTTGGCGGTGACGGAGATGCAACGAAGCAATAAACGGGGGCTAGTTAGGACGAATATCAGTACAACGAGGGAACCAGTCCCGGGGAGGCGTTGCAGAGATTAAGAAGCGATTCGACAGATCGGTGATGTCGAAGAGTTATCGGAAGGAATGGATGGACATTGAGCGGAGGGATGAGAGAGCTTCACTATGGAAAGCCGCCGACAGCTAGTAGGGTGCTCGGAAGGGGAAGCTCCGATTCGCCGAAAAGAGCTCCTAGGGACGTGCGGATTAGACGAGGCTTGAGCAGGCAGCGACAGACGGAACACAAGATCACAAATACAAAGGGAGAAAATGATAAGGGAAAAAAAAAAATAAGAAAAAAAAAATATTGGAGTTAAGTTGAGGGTGGCATGTGTAGGGGAGATCTGTGAAAGCTAGAAGCTCTGGACGGAGAATTTGGGTAGATTCGGGGCTGTGGGAGGGGGAATAATAATAGAGTGTGGAATGGATGCGTCATTATGGGGTGGGAAAGAATGGAGATGAAACCAGACCGGACAGGAAGGGAAACTCACCCTCACCAGACTACTGGGGAGATTGAAGCACTAAAAGCTGACGAGAGACTGTGTAATGGAGGGAGAGGGGTTTGTCAAAGTTGGAGAATATTTGGAAAAGTCTAGTTGATCAAGGAAAAAAGAAAGGAAAAAAGGGGAGAGTAGGGAAAGTTGTAGTAAGTAAGTTGTAGCTTTGTTGGATGTCGCCTCAATAATCCCCCAGGCTGTCGTTTTTGGTCTCGATCCTGCAGCCAAAGCGGGTGTGGCATTTCCCGGAGGATCTGTCGGCCCGGCTGAAGCTTGGGCGGCTTGGGAGGCCTGAGGATGAAATAGAGCTGCCTAGAATCTCTTGGGTCACTGAAATGAGATAAAGAGATAGTTAGTTCAATAGATGTAGAGATAAATCGAGATTCGAATTTAAAGTGACCACTCCCTACCAGAAGTCTATTTAGTTTTTTCTTCTACTACCCAACTTGCCCTGCCTGTGCCCCGTTCTTCTTTATTTATATCACCACAGACTATAGGAAGAATGAGTAGTTGTGTGTCGACGAACAGAAAGGCTTACACGCCCCCTCCCCTCCTCCAACCGATGACCGAGCCACATTTCAGCCCCTCGTGACTACTATACATACAGTAAAAAGTTGACACCACGCTGCAGCACAGACACGTTCTCGTCTCTCCATCACACCCGTCTCTTTTCTTGGCTTCGTTCTCTTCAGGGCGTTATAGGTTCCTCGCGCTTGCAACCATGCATACAGATTTCAATCCAGTCTGGAAAACCGGTCGCACCACTTATCTTCGGATGATCACCGAATTGTCAGCCTCTCAGATGCTCCGAGCACTCCCGACAATTCCATGAGGGAATTCGTCGGCCTGCTCCATCATTGGTCGGTCCGGAACGCATGTAGTCATAGACTTCTGCCAGTTTAGATGAACTGCCGTCCCGCTGGTGTCGAGCCTACGACCCCTCCAACGCAGATTGGACGACGGATCATGAGGCGTAGAATAATGTGCTATGCAAGATACCTCTTAGTCACAACGATGGCAGGACGCAACTTCAGTCAGCAGCAGGTCCAAACTCTACCCCACTGCAGGAACACCGCCATTTCCATCCCCAACCCCAGCTCAGCCTGGTCATGATCATGGCTTCTGCTGCCAAGCCCCCTCTACTGCGCCAAGCACCAACGACTTATGTCCGATCTTTTCTCCTAGCCACGTTGTGGTGGGCATGTTTTGGGTGATGTGCCTTGGCCTGCGTTGCAGTCTAGCTGATGCGGGTAAAGGTTTCCAACCATGGCATGTGTGACACTGAATGGGATTACTGCGCAGGTGAATATGCAGAGTCCGCCTTTTTGACTCGGCGCTAATAGGTGCATTTGTCCAGTCGATTTCAGTACCTCCCCGATGACAATCATTGGTCACCCTATGACCGCCCGCACCCAATCCTTAATATGAGGAAGCCGGGACCGAGCGGTGCAACAGCTTTTCGTGATGTTCGTAGCGCAACTTGGTAGACGGGATTATAAAGCAAACGGCGTAACCGCCAGTTTCATTCTACTTCTTCAGGGACTCCCGCGCGCGAATCTGCTGCGGGGTTTCCTCCAACTCAATTTTCGTAATATGTTGGCCAGGAACGACCACAAGACCGATAAATCGACTCGTCATATCCATCTTGACGCTCTGGGCGTCGACTGCGCTACCGGCGGCTGAATCATGCGTACCCGTGGCGGCGTCTCGAACAGTAGATGGGGAAGGAAAGCGGTATTCGTAGGTGCTGGCAAGGATGATATTTCGTGCCTAATGCGGCCAAAACAAGTCAGCAGGCGCTAGTTTATTTTCTTTCTCGTATTCTTGGTTTTCATATCCCTCCGAGCTATCCAAACAGAAAAAAGGTGTTGAAACGGGAACTCATAACAGAAAGCACCTACCGCATCCGTACACTTGAAGGTACCCACGAAAATGCGCGTATCTGTCGCGTGCACTCGTAACGTCCGACCGATCAATGAGTCCAGATATTGGACTGCTTGGTTTCCGTCCATTGTGCCCTTTCCTGTTCTTTCCAATCGATTGACGTAAGGCAACCTGCCTAGCCACACCTTCACTTTTAAGCGGGGTGGGGTTTGACCACTAGAAGAAAGAAATCTAGCGGTCTAGACTATTCTGCGTTGTCCCAAGGCGAGGCGGGAAAATCAATCAAGGGGCGAGATTGGGGAGTCTCTTATAGCCAGCTGAACTCAAACGCCTAGTCAGACTGGACGGATTCCGGTTGGTTGTCGGGGAGAGAAAGATGGTCACCGGGTCGCGACAAAGAGATCCGCTGGAGACCTCAGGCATTCTTGTCGCATGTGACGTTCCGCAATCGGGCACGCTATAACAACGGCTCTTCATGATGGATTTCGCTTCATCTTAAGGAAGAGGTCTTTTCAGGATTTGAGAGAGAAATATATAATAGCACCAGTATAATCTTTTCGGCTTGTTTACCCATAAGTATTATGTGAATTTATTGTTTGCATCGCTCAATATACTATTGCATAACGATCCTCAACATATCTAACAGACTATATACATCGTTTCGTCTGTGACTCCGCACCTCGGCCGCCAAAGTAGCTAGAATTGATTCGAGCTCAACTCGAGTATCCTGGCAGCCGTTTCGGGCAAGAGAAGCAGGTTCCGGGCTGCTTTGATTCATATCTCCAACAAGGGAGACATGCAGATACATGGACAGTGCAACGTATGTCAAGTGACAGTGTCGTGACGCTACCAATATGACCAGCACATTGATCCGCGCGGTTATAATATTAAGATAAAGTAAATCAAGGTATCATCGCTGAAAGGACTAATGTCGTTGGTATCGCACGCGATGGGTGTAATGCACCCCAGACATGACCGAGCACTCGTCATGCCCAACCAAGCCCTCCGAATGGTCTCCGAGGCTCTTGGACTGACTCGTTGGTTACTGAGTCCATGTCCATATCGCTGCCTGTCAGCTGCGAAGGTGGGCTACTCGTACCCCATCCCGTCGAAGTAACTGGCGAGGACAAATTGAAGGTATGCGATTGAAAGGGAGTTGTTTGCAGTGGTATAGCATTGTTCGATGGTTGATCCAGCTTGTTCAAGCGGTTGTGAGCGGGTGTAGATTGGGAAGGGCGGAAGAATTTGAGCAATGTCTGCTGGCGAGGGTCGACGATCTCAGATGATGGTACAGGTTCTGGCTCAGTTGCCTCGTCCTCGTCTGTGGAAGGAGTAGGAGCTTGGTGTTGTTGTTGTTGCTGAGCCGTAAAAAGCCATCGCATTGTATTTTCTACTGTATGTGAGACAATTGCTTTCGGATAGAACGGTGCGAATCTTTCAGAACATACCATAGACTACTTCGTCATCCGGGCGATCGTTTCTGAAGCGCTTGCGGGTGCGACTGTGGAGGTGCTTTGGGGAGTCATCTGCCACGAATGATCGTCCTGACATCACAGGAGCAGGATTGGGCGATGTGAGACTGGGGACCGAGGCCTTGCGCTTGAGGGACATGGTGTGAGGCAGAGAAGGTTCAGATCAGATCTCTGGTGTCGCGTGCGAATATTGAAGAGTTTATTTTTCGGTGGAACAATGCAGAGAACTCTTATGAGAGGACAATGTGAAAAATTGATCGTGCAGAAAAGTTTAATCACGAACAATGGGTAACTGTGCAGGCTGATATATAGAGTCGTTGGCTATAACAGGGCTGGGGAGTAGCCTTTTCCAGTGTGGTTGGGAGAAGGATACCGGCGCGTCGGGTCACGGGAGAAGCGTGAGCAAGACCGCGTTCCAATACACAAAATATGCGCTATTCCGATTCGGGGTAAATTGATCCGTCCATACCAGTGATGGCAGGCGATAAAAGATAGCAGATAACAGAACCTTGGATCCCGCCATAATACTGTACGAGTAGCTAATTACGAGCTACTCCGTAGTAATTTACTTACTATTCTCTCATATGAAAGACTACATAGTATATGGTTCCAGACAGGCATTCCGCTTCGGGATTTAGCTGTATCGGTATCTACTCCAAACTCACAGGCACAAACGACCACGGCGCTGACAATCTAGTTCAACAAGGCCGGAAACTACTCCGGTTCTGCATGACCTCATGCTGGGTATTAGCTCCATCCTGAAGAGTGTCTATGATCGGCATGCTACCCTCGATGCTGCTTTGTGTCTTGAGAGCTTGGACCCGGCTGCATTCTTCGTTGCGGAACCCGCAATGACGAGAGTTCCGCCTTCCCCGCTTCTGCCTTATCAAGCTGCCACCGACTGTTGTTCATCGTCATCCTCACTCTTCACTTCAACTTTGCCCCAGTCATACCTATATATACTGCATATACATACCATCGAAGCGTCTCTCTAATAACAGACCCTTCAGCTAATAGCAAGTCAAGCGGCTCAACATGGATGCTCGGGAAGATAGTCATGCTGGTTCATGGTACTCCGACGATAAATCCACCTTGTCCTATCAACTGGATCACTGGTTGCAAGAGGTACCGGATGAAATCGAGGGCATCGGCAAACTACCTGTGCCTGGTGCACGAATGATCATTGCGCCGTATGTATCGGAAAGCTAATTTGCATGTTGTTTCTGACACTCTGATCTATTCTCAGACACGCAGGCTATGCATACTCCGGACGATGTGCCGCTTTTGCCTACAAGGCCCTGGACCTGTCACAGGCGTGAGTGATAGCCCTCTAGCCTCACCCTCGCTGTTTACTAAAGTAAATAAATGTATAGTAAACGAATCTTTGTTGTCGGACCATCGCATCACCATTACTTCACAACGCTTGCCCTTCCTGAGTTCACTTCATACCATACCCCGCTCTCTGACGACCCTCTACCGCTTGATACCGAGTTCATTGCCAAGCTACGTTCAACCAAAGCAGTGTCACGAAATGGGCTAGAATTGCAATTCACCACCATGTCCCGCTCCGTGGACGAAGCTGAGCACAGTATCGAACTGCACCTACCTTACATCCACCGTCTCCTACAACGCCAGCGGCCGAACCAGCCAACATCCCAATATCCGCCGCTGGTACCTATATTAGTGGGTGCTGTTACTGAGTCGACCGAGAAGGCTTTCGGAACCTTGCTTGCTCCGTATATTGATGATCCAGAGAATGCTTTTGTCATCAGCTCCGATTTCTGTCATTGGGGGCAGCGGTTCCGTTACACGTACTACAGCCCCCAGGCTCCTAACCCTGGGCCCAGCATCCCCGTTTCCGCTCCAGGCCTCCCTCAACCCGGGATTGATGACGATAGTGTAACCGATCAGATGGAGGTGGTGTCTACTGGTCGCTCCTTGAAATCGCGGGAACGTATTAGGAGCCGAGAACCACCAATTCACGAGAGTATCTCGGCAGTTGACATTGCGACCATGGCAGCTATTGCCACCGGAGAGTACGCACGTTTCTCAGCGATACTCAAGAATACAGGGAACACTGTGTGTGGCCGTCACCCCATCGGCGTGATAATGGCTGGTATTGAAGATATTAGAAAGAATGAAGGGGAGAAGGGCAGATTTCGCTTCATCCGATATGACCGCAGTTCAAATGTGATAGAGGTCGACGATAGCTCTGTGAGCTACGTTTCTGCCTTTACCGTGCTCTAGGTTAGCACATGCTCACTGCAAACTGAGAAATCAGAGGAATTGTCATCTGTATCCAATCCTTGCTCGGGACTGTGAATAGCCGCGTGTCTTCAGGCTCTCTAGTATTGTGTAGGAATCATTTTACAGCTACTGCCATTCAATATGTCTTTCGGATATCTTCGCCTTCACCCTCCGCGAGAAAGCGGCCTGCTTATCCCCACAGCAGCATTTCCCGACCAAGGAATGAAACCCTTGAGAGATTGAGATCACCGGTCCTGCGGCCAGGGAAGGGTAGCATAGAGGTAGTATTGCTAAGATGGCCACTCTTCACTCTTGTTGGGCCATTGGTTAATGCCCAATCAACGAGGTTGAAGCTCAAAGAGTCTACTTACTATACCCGCCATGACTGGCAAGACGACATGGTACTCCCGGAGAGGCTTCAGCAGGCGTCGACAAGGACAAACGAGCGATGGAAGATCATTGTCACATGGGCTCCCGATGGAAGCAAAGAAGGTTCGCTGTTACACGGCAATGGAGGGGGTTGGATTAAGGTAACTCGGCCACTCCGGGGCAATAACCCCAAAGAGACTGGAGAAAAAGCCTCATGCCTGCCGTTTCTTGCTCACTGCATGGTGCCGGTTTGCGGCGGGGCTACATATGGTCCGATTGTCTGGTGATAGGATCGCGTGGCTGACCTGCCTGCCCGGTTACCCCGCAGCTTTGCGCGATGGTCTGCCGGGGATGGAGGAAAAAGCAAGTCGAAACCCTTCATGCATGATGCAGTGTTCAAAAGGTTGCATTGGGCTGAAGGGGATGTTTGACATTGGTACGCTGGGGCTGGTGTTGACTGCAGCCGTTAGCCAGTGACACTCTCCAACGACACCCTTAGTCGTGCGACTGCGGAGGTTTGGCACCACCCAATCGATGAAGATGAGCTTAAATTGAAGTCCTACATCTCGTAGATTTCCTAACCAATCCGCAGTCAGAAGTGGCTTTCTGACCCGTGCGGTCTCTCGGATACTTCCGCAGCTTGAGCCAGATTCCTCAAGGTTTTTTTCCAAACATTTGCGCCTTCAGGGCTCCAATGGTGTTCCTGTTTTGTCTTGGGATTGGACCCCTACGGTGATGCTCTTCACTCTCATTCGATTCTAGTTTGATCACTTCTGGCGATCTGTTGACTCTATTGTTCCCGTGGCGTGGCCAACGTCGGAATGTGCCTTCTGTGCCCGGGTGGATAGATCCAGTCCCTGTCACCGTTTCCAAAGTCTAGGTCGTAAGACAGTCGGAGACAAATTGCAAGGACGGCGGAGATTGCCAAATGTTGTCACACACGCACACCGGGGCGCAGATGGTTGTTGGTTCAGGCCCCATGATGCCACAGGTTGAGGTGTGTCGGTATTTGCCGGCATACAGACGACTCAAGGCGACTA